AGTGATCGTGTCGGGAAGGTGAGCATCACAGAATGCCAGATTATTAGAGCACTTGAGTGGAGACCCAATGTCCATCTGTAACCTCAATTCTTAACATATAGATATGAGTACATAGTTCTATTCCCCTCTTGTTTTATGTTTACATATGTACATACCTTTATTTAGACCTCTATAAATGTCCTTTGTCTCCTGGTTCTTTCCTCTACTGGCACTTTTATAAATGAAGGTATATTATCATTTTTTTTACAGGGAGCCTGGTGGAGTAGTGGATTACATGTTGGACTGCTAACCTCAAGATTAGTGGTTTGAAACCATCAGCCCCTCTAACGCAGAAAAATGAGGCTTTCTGCTCCCATAGAGATTTACAGTGGAGGAGTCCACATAGGCATTTCTATTCTGTCTTGGGTTGCTTTTTATTAGCATCGACTCAGAGGCAGTGCATTTTGGGGCTATATTCTACATGGGAGTTTATCTGTTTTCCCTGAGTAGGCCTGCTTTTTTTCAAGAGATACTCAAATGTCTAAATGTCAGTTTACCTTCCCTTCATGTTTAGTGCAGCTTTGCATAAAACAATCATTTAGGTGAATGAATGGAAGAACATCCATCAATCAATAGGCAACCACCATGCATTTTTACTTAAAGTAAAAATTGCCCTTTCAGGCAATTTCTAACAGTGTTTTAGGCTGCAGTCACGTGGTTACACAGTTCGGAAATCTCAGTTGAACAGTGGGACATAGAAGACACAAGCTTCCTGCACATGATGTGTGTCTCAAGTCTCGGCACAGCAATCATGCTTCCAGGAGTGTGACGTTGCAGTGCATATGTGACCAATAATACAAAATCATGAATTCTTATGTTACTCGCTTATCTATCTTTTGTACCACCTGACAAAGTGTGCTCTGATTCCTAAGCAGCAGCATCTAATCTCATACATTGCCATCTTTTCAGTGCTGTTAGTATTCTCTTCCCCGGTCTTTCAAAAATATTACTGTGAAGTACATCTTGACATTGAAATGCGACAGAACTAGGGATGGAAGCAGCCGGAGCCAAAGCTGAAATATTGATTCAGAACGAAACAAAAGGGTCATTAAACAACCCCAACCCACTGCTGTTATAGTCACTTCCGACTCAGGGCTCCTTAGGGTTTGGGAAACGAAATGTGTATGGGAGCAGATAGATGAAAAGGGGATGCATGCCACTGCTTGCTGTGTAGGCATGTTGTGCATCACAACCTTGACAAACTTCAGAAACAAATTCTCCAAGGTTTAAAGGATAAGCTGCTGCAAGCTGCAAGGCTAAAGACAATGTTGAGCGGGACCAATATCTAATCTGGAGAAATTGCTACTGTGGATTGAGGAACAAACACAAACGTGTGATCCTGTCGGCGCACCTGTGATCACTGTTGAGACTCGAAGCTTGTTTGGGCTGGTTAAACAACAAATCTGATGTTATAAGAGCCCCCAAGAAAATGATCTTTTAAAACGAAAGAATCCAGACTAGTAAGCCACAGTGGTATTGGCACAGCACCTAGTCTCTAAACATGTCCTGCTCTCCAGAATGTATCCTGGATGCTAAAGTGACCTGTGTTCTCACTGATTTGTGGCCTTCCTGGTGAACCGCATTGGTTCATGATTCACAAAATCATGCCCTCCCAAGTAGAAAGTTAGGGAATTTGCTCTGCCTCTTGCTCCTTGTTTTTGTCTTTGTTTATCAGGTTACTAAGTTATTCTCTACAATCTTTTGAAGCACGTATATTCTTATGCTAAACTTGGTTGTTTTTGTTTCCCATGAGTCACAAGTTACAGATTCATAAAGTCTAAATGAATAGGCTTAAGTGAAGGCCTTGATAGGTTGTGTGTGTTTTTAAAACATTTTATTGAGGGCTCTTACAGCTCTTGTAACAATCCATACTTAGTTGTATCCAGCACATTTGTACATGTGTTACCATCATTATTTTCTAGATACTTGTTTTCTATTGAGCCCTTGGTGTCAGCTCCTCCCCGTAGTTTTTTTTACACATCAAGTAGTTGGAGAAAAGTTTGCTTTTTCTTCTGGTTTGTTTTTCTAAACTGGGAGGTTGCCAGTGAAGTAACACATTCCCTAAAAAGCTCTGGTGAGGAGGTTCATTTATCAAGTGTTTTTATCCTTTGCTTTTTAAAATCACCCTGGAGAAGAATTGGATAATTGGGCTTCTGGGTTCTTGTTCTACATGTTTATGCAATCAAGGCAATGTATTCTTTTCCGCGGTCTCTAATTTAAGATCTACTCGCTTCATTTCTAGAAAAAAGCCTCATTGTGGAAGGCAAGAGGGAAAAGAGGAAAGTCGAGAGATTGACAATGCAAGTGTCCTCGCAGAGAGAGCCGTTTACAATTGCACAAGGTCAGCCGGCCGTTTGTTTTTGTGGCGAGGATGCCTCAATATACAAAATATTATTGGTGCTTAATTTTTAGTGTTTTAGTAAGTGGTAAGCTTTTGATACTGTTTTCTTTAATCTGCCCTGTTGGGGTGACTGTAAATTCTATTGAAAAATCGCATTGAAATAAGCGTGGTACAGTTATTACCAAACATTGGGCATTTAATTACTAGGAGTTTTTGTTTGTTTGTTTGTTTGTTTCCCATAGGCAAGGGACAGAAACTTTGTGAAATTGAAAGGATACATTTCTTTTTGAGTAAGAAGAAAACGGATGAACTTAGAAACCTACACAAACTGCTTTACAACAGACCAGGCACAGTAAGACTTCTAAAATGCCTTTAAGTTAGTAGCTTAAGTATTAAAATAACT